TGGGCAGGGTCTGGTAGTGAAAGTGGGCAAAAAGAAATATCTGCTGCCATTAAACAAACAGTCACCACTTTCGCGGTTCGCGACCACTTTTGCCAACAGGAGCTGCTTTGGAATGTGTTTGAAATTAAAAAGTAAAGTCCTCTCCAGATGAACAAAGACAAAACGCTACAAGTCGCTCATCATTCCCGTCTTGCTAAATGCTAATACGAACGATGAGATGAGATGTACGATATACGGTAACATTGACATATCTCAGTAGTTACGCTGGCTCGGGAGAACCTCAGCTCAACAAAGCTTTAACGTTTAAATAGTCCCAATTATATATCTTCTGAGATACTACCAACATACTACTTGACTTTCCAGACTCAGTACAGCAAAACTACATCGAAAAAAATCTGCCAAAATTGCAGGGTTTTAGCTTACGAGTTCTGACTAATATCTCCAACAAATAGAGTGTATCCAGAGGTTGTAAGTCCCTCATGTGACATTCCCGTTGAGACTCCTGGAGTGACTTTATCCAAAGTGTGTCCTCTGTGACACCGCTTACGAGATTATAATGGAGTTAACAAAAGCGTTCCAGTCAATTCTTGCTTTTTGCCATTTGGCGCCAATCGGATAGAACACTTTTTGCCCATACAAATGCCATGACTTATCCAGCGAAGCCGCTGTTTCTTAATTCCCAGAGCCATGACAATATCACCGAATATTTTTTATATCTTTCCATCTGATGTAGTAACTCCAGCGGCGACTCATCAGATATTGTCTCGTCCATGGCTCCACACCATATAGAGAGGCTGGATGCATGAGGAACTTGTAGTCGTTCGTCAAGAGAATTTCACTTTTCAATTGCCTACTTGGATTACCAGGCTGACATTGTTGTTGGTGTTAACACTGCTTCCAAGATAGACGAAATTATCTGCGACTTCAAAGTTATGACTGTCAACAGTGGGAGCATGGGAGCCGAGTCGCTAATGCGCTGGCCGTTTGTTTGAAGACAGAAGATGCTTCGTCTTGTCTTCAATGTCTGTCAGGCTCCAACTATCTATCTATCCGGTGTTTATATCAAGCCCTGGTAGTTAAGGAGATGTCCGAGCTCTTAACTTGCGGTCACCTCTACGCAGGGAATGTAAATCCTTACCAGTGCATTTCAGGCACTCAATAAAAGATCATTAAAAAAATAAGGTTCTTCATTTGTCGGAAAAACTTCAAGATGCACACCACAAATTGAAGAAGGTTATCGTGCGAGATCACTTCTGGGATTATAAATTGCCAATTATATATATATGTATTTATATGAGAAGCTCAATGTGGGGTATCTGAGCGCAGTTTTGAGCAGCCTTGATCTCCTTTTAATGGCGACTTTCTTTATACCCTCAAGTATCTGCCTTTTTTTTCTTTTAAATTACCAGCAGAGAATTTTACAAACGCACATCGACCGATTTCGATAATATTTTCGAAAGGCGAACACGAAATTAAATCTAGCAGAAAAACCATTTTGTTGCCAATTATTTTTTCATTTGGCGTAAAATCCTCAGCACAAGGTCATAATCAGCAAGGATACGGTGGCAAGCGGTCAATTCATAGCTACTTATTTCAAAAGTATGTATATATATATGGATAATAATGTTGCTATTTTTTTAATGACATGTCCAGCTCATTGCTTCAGTGAGGAATAAGGAGGATTCCCTTACAGTACAGCATCAAATGTGTGTCCTTATCCTGATCAGCTGTAAGTATTAATAACAACAAATAAAATCAAGAGCCAAAAATGCTTGAAGACTTTTTGAAACAACACTCGCCGAAACATTGCATTTCCCCTCAAGATCCATTACTTTTCGGCAATCGCTTGATTTTTCACATTTTCTTACACAAAAGAAAGGAAAAAACAACAAAATTCCCTCAAACAGCCGCTTGAGCTGTTAGCGATCGCGAAAGGTAGTCAACGCTTTACCGCTCGGCATCTTTTGATTTTTTCTGTTCAGTTCAGTTGTGTTTTTATTTTATTTTTATTTTTTTGTTTGGAAAAGGTGCATGCTGTCAAAGTATCAGCTTACCCAGCAGCGCCACGTTGCGCCAAAGACGCAACAACCCACCCTTACTCGTATCTCAAGTCCAATTTACAAGCGGTAAGCACTTATGCCCGTGTTCGTAGTGTCTGAAGCGGAAATTGACATTTGTCTCAGCTCCTTGGCTATTTATAGGCAATTTTCAAATTGTTGCAATTTCAGTAAATTGAGTTTTGCGGTGAGTGAACAACAATTGACGACAATATTTTTCCATGTCTCATTGACTGATAATTTGTATCATTTAACGAAAAATAATAATCGGTTTCGCTACCAAGCGTTTGTTCTTCAAAAAGAATTGTTGTCGAACTGAAATGCGATATCTTTTGTTTGTGAGCGGAGAATGTTTGAATTACCCGCCAATGTTGTGTTTAGTCGGCGGGATTGTTTAGACAGAAGTATCTTGTTGCTTACAATAATTGTAATAAAATTTAAATAGAGCGAAAATGACAGATATACATATATTATTTTTAAAATTTTGAATAAAAAAATATAAATTTTGAAATGTCGGAAACACGGAAATAAATCTATATCGACTTCTTCTCTATTGGCATTGGCAGCGCTTACACGATTATAGCCGAATCAATATTAGCGCGCCATTCCTCTATACCAAGTGAAGCTATGTCGCTCTCGCCTGATCATTCCAAAGGAGTGGAGGTCTTCCTCTGCTACCATCCGCCGGTGCTACATCGAATACAATCAAAGCTGCAGCTCTTTCATTCATTCCGACGATATGACCTAGCCATTGTGGCTCTGCAATCGTTGTACTCGTACCATCATCTGCGGTACACGCCTTTGCCACCGCGCAATACCTTTCTCTCGAAAACTCCTATCGCTATCGCATCATGTCCATGCTTCCGCACCATATAGCAGGACGGGAACGATGAGAGACTTTTAGAGTTTGGTTTTCGTTCGTCGGAAGAGGACTTTACTTTTCAATTGCCTACTCAGTCCAAAGTAGTAGTAGACCTGTTGGAAAGGGTGATTCTACCCAGGCTGACATTGTTGTTAGTGTTAATACTGCTTCCAAGATAGACGAAATTTTCTACGACTCCAAAGTTATGACGGTCAACAGTGACGTGGCAGCGAAGTCGCGAATGCGTTGTCTGTTTGTTTAATGACAGGAGATATTTTTCTTCTTGACCTCATTCACTACCAGTTGATGAGGCTATGTGTAGAAATGCACGCTTGTGCGGAAAGCTTTTGACTGCCATTCAATTTGGAGTGACCAGAAACGATTTTGCATCTGGTGAAAGCAGCTCACGACTTCCGGTCTTAGACCAATTATCCCCAGGGTAGCCAACAAACAACGGAATGTGGATCCCATGCGGTTGTGCGTAGCGTTTGGAACTCACCACATGGAAACGAAAATTTCTGTTTTTTTCGGAGAGGGTGTTTTTGACGGCTATTACTTGATTTATAAGCAGTCTGGTTTGCCACATCATATTCAACAGTTGCGCATGATTCAACATACCTGCACAGGAAAGGTATTCTTTGCTTGTTCATTAGCGTGTCATTCGTTTATATTCTTAGCCGTTTGCCGCCTATCGGAAACACGAAGTGAAGCCAGGTATTTATCCAACCGATTGTCCAACGGAGTGGCACTTCGTCGAAGACTTTCAGAGCGGCAGTGTTCTCATCCTTTAAGGTGGCATGATCCAGTTTCTTAATTCGCTGATAGACAAAATTATTTAGAACTTGAAAGTTACGATGACAGGAGATATTACGTCAAGTCCTTGTTCACTAATAGGCCAATTTATAGAACATTATACCTTTTAGCTTTGGCATTATGGCTCTTTTTTGTTACTATTGTATTAGGTTGAAGAAGTCACACGAAGTCTCGTTTGGTAAAGAACCAATTTTTTCCCATAGAGAATTTTCCCTTATGGCCATCTCCTAATGTTTTTCATACTCACATATTTCAGCCTCCTCAACTCTCGTTAGGCCCATAAAAACATATCTGTTACATCGTCCTTCTCTTCCGTCGGAGCGTGGTCACTATTGGGCAGGTATTTTTTTTTCTTTATCTTATTGACTATGGAGCGGTTGAATAATAGATTTCTCTTTGATATTATTAGAGCACCTGACTCGGTTCCCCCGCTCAACTTCGAGGTCATAAAAAGTTTCGTTTAACTAAGGTACGGCCTTTAAATTCAACATGAAATTACTCTTGCCAAATGAAAAGTAAAACCCTCTCACGATGAATAAAAGAAAATTCTACAAGTGGCTCATCGTTGCCAAGTCGAAATTTTTGCCATAAAAATGGCTAATTCTTTATACAGCCCGAAGTCAGCTGTGGTCGAAGTATGTAAGGAAGCGATTCAAGCACTGGCTGAGCAAACACGGGCATTGCAAGTAATGAGATAGGGGGCGTACTTTCTAAAGAGGGTGTCTATTTAGAAGAGGCCGCAGCATCAAACCTTCCAATTCCACTCAAGGACTTGAAGCAGAATCAAGAAGTAATACTACTTCGTCAGGCGATTAGACTCTGGCACGCGCTAAGGGCTCCAGAATCACGAAGAATATATGTAAAACATACAATAGTGAACTCACAAAGTTTGTACTATCTGTTAATAGACTGGACTGCTGGCTACTGAAAGGACTATTAACGGGGTATTGCCTTCCTGGTATCTCAAGCGTTTAATATTGGTATGACTGCGCACAATATAGGTAGGTTGCAAGGAATGCAAGGAATGGGAGGAGACAGTGGAGCACGTAATCTGTGAGAGTGCGACTTTCGGAAGACAAAGCTTCTGCATACTTGACACTGAAAAGCAGTAGCCAAGAGTTATATAAACCTTTCTTTGTTCGAATGCTCTCCCACAGATATTCGAACATGTAGCAATTACTTCCCCAAATCTTCGTTTTACTTCACTTGTACCAGTTAGTGAGTAACATTTTCATCTCAGTTAGTTTTTAAATAAATGTTTCAAAAAAATGAAGTATTGTTAGTATAAAATAAAAAATAAAGAAATAAACAAGTCTCTTTTCTAACTATTTCATTCAAGGGGCCAGAACGACCACTTAAGTTCGCGAAAAGAACAGCAATTTATTTCGTCTAGGTGAGACTCACTGAGTCAGCCAGCTTAACCTAACCCAAACCAACCACTGAAGTGATTTTCGGCCGAGCTCGTCCCAAAGCTTGAGGTAAGCGTCTTATTGTTTTTCTAAATAACATTTAGAAGGGGCTTACGACTATACTAAGAGCCCTCGGAACGGCTGACGTTTTTTATGAAGAGTCTTTATTTTATGACAGAAATACGCTCGGAGGGCTTGACATTCCCTGCCGAGGGGTGATCGCGACTAGAAAAATTAACATAATTTTTTATTTAAATTAATTTTCTTTAATTTTTAGATATTGGTCAGACGAGGACTCGAATGCTGGCTTCCAAATGGCAACACGCAATGCTAATCTCCTCATCAAATTTCTTATGGAAGGGATCGAACTAACGGATCCTCCGGCGAGTGCTCCACCAATGCGCCAACAACAACCATGTAATCTGTTGTTGTATTATTTAATTCATTATTCACCAACAACTATATATATGTATAATTGGCGCTTTGTAACCGCTGAAGCGATTTTCGGCCGAGCTCCTCCTCCAATTTGTGGTTTTGCGTCTTGAAGTTTTTTCAACAAATAGAGGGACCTACAATTTATACTAAGTCGCCTCCGATCGGCTGATGGTTTTCTTATGGGGAGCTTTATTTCATACAAGAAATACACTCGGAGGGGTTGACATTCCCTGCCGAGGGGGGACCGCAATTAGAAAATTTATCTTAATTTTCCATAACTTTTGGATGTTGGGAACGCACGGGGGTTTGAACCCGAGTTCCTGATTTACCACAAAAAGTCTCATTAACTACACGTTGAGAAGAAGTAAATCGTTGTACTTGCACATACATACATTTTTTTGAGTTTGAGTATGGATATAATCTCTAAATACGAGGGTTGCACCACATACTTTTTCAAGTAAGTATTTTTAGATGGGAATACTGAGGCCTGATGGATACGATTCAAATATATCCTAACAGTTATTACGCGCTCAAGTTCCCGAAATTTGCTGCCCTAGAGACTTCAACTTACTCATGGCTTCCGCTATCTCTTCTTATCTACAAGTTCTGCAGTAGTCGTTAGATGATGCAGAGGTCGGACATCTGCATACCTGTCCAATAAGACGTTCTCTGCAAGAAGACCTAAAACAGTTTATATCTCTATTCTATTTGGTTTGAGGTCAAGATCACTAGACTTTTTTATCCCATTTCACCACATTGTGCTGGTCACCGTACACGTGTTGAGATTTTCCCATCTTGCATAAGCATCTTTGATAATCCTCCTACACTGAGTTTACAAGTGGAAAGCCGCATATCCAAACTATTCCATAATGGGGAAAGTTGAAGGGAAGTGACCTCTCATCTTGTCCGTCTCGCAGATGGTGCAGAGGGTGTGTACACCTAAACATCCAGTGAGGTTCGGCAATATTCTGCGAAATATGCTGTAAATAAAAGCTGCTGGCTTACGCCAATGGTATTCATATCATTGAGCTCAACAACCGCGCCGTGAGTTTTGCTTTCCCAGACCGGAAGAGGAAACGAAGCTCATGGGTTTGGTAGGTATCATCGCATTCGCGACTAGGCTCACACGTCACTGTTGAGTTGAGTTGTCATTACTAGATAGTTTCTTCTATCTTGAAACCAGTATTAACATCAACAACAATGCCAGCCTTGAGATCCAGCGCAAAATCACTCTTGCCAACAGTTGCTACTATCGATTGAGAGGGCAATTGAAAAGTCCTCTCACGATGAACAAAGGCCACGCTGTACAAGTCGCTCATCGTTCCCGACTTGGTATATGGTGCAGAGGCACCTACGATGACATTATCTGATGAGTCGGCGTAAGGACATTCGAGAGAAAGGTTTTACATAAGATTTATGGACCTCTAGGAGCTGGTAACAGCGAATGCTACTGTCAATGGAACGATGAGCTGTAAAAAAGTGCTCAATATGAGGCCATCGAGCAGTACTCACCGGTGAAGAAGAATGACCTCCACTTAGTTGGAAAGACAAGGCCAAGAAGGACTTGGCTGTACTTGGTATTCCCAATTGGCCAAATAGCGAAAAGAAGGAATGAATGGTGCAACGTTGTTAACTCGGCTATTATCACGTGACCAGTGTCTACGCCAGTAAAGAAAAAGATTCACGATGACCAACAACTCAAAGCGAAAACTAAAGCTAGGATTAAAAAGCTTGAATATTTACGAAGAAAATATTTCTCACTTATATACAATAAACATACATATGTAAAAAAATATATGATTTGAAAATACAAAAAAAAAAAAATGGCAGGAAACTCCATTTATTTCCTTTTTCATCGGGCGCACGAATACAACCGATATTACCGCGACTTCCCCAAAGCAGCGCAGCTAATTTATGCAATCATTTGCATCAGCAGATTTTTTCTTCTTCAAAAAAAATTACGATCAACAATAAAAGTTGAGCAAGCATGAACAAAACAGAATGCCAAAAAATGTATATGTATGGAGGCATATGCCTGTATGTATGTACGAGCCAACGAAAATAGCTGCACATTAACAATATCCTGCGCTCGCTGCCAATTGTTAGCGGCCATTTCGAGCTGCCGGAAATTCGCATTTATTTTAATCGGCGCATCAAAGGTGGCAACTTTTAGACAACTTCTCTTGCCAGCGCCTGCTCTGACACCATTCTCACTGACTGCCACCCACTCACAATTTTTCGTTCCATCCACTCCAACTCCTTCAACGGCAGTGTATTTATTGAAATGAAATTAATTTGCCACATTAAAAGCGCAACGAATGAACGAGTGAAAGAAGCGGGCGGGAGTGAAACTGTTGGGGAGAGGCGAGCGGGTGCATGAGTAAATGTAATAAAGTGAATTGAAATGAGTGAATTCATTGCTCAAACTTTGCAATTTTCTCTGCGCTTCCTCTTTCCGGCCGATGACAATGAGGCGCGCAACCACCGCGCTACCGTTATTACGCTGTAATGTCTTCTCAGCACTTGTGCAAATCAAATTGACTGTTGTTTGCAAGCGGCGAGTGAGTGTCGTGACGAAGCGAGGCATTCCTCAATTGTCAATTGTAATTTTTCTCTGATTTTCCTGCAGCTCTCAGCTCATGTCGCCGTCTTCGTCTTCCCTGTTTTATTGATTCCACCATGGCTTTTGGTGACAGAACGACACAATGAAGAAAGATAAAAGAATCGGAAGCAAATGTTGCAAAGTGAGCGTATAGACAAAAAAAAAAAAAAAAAAAAAAAAGAAGACAAATGTTGAAGCTAGAGTCTGACGGTGTAGAGCCAGCGAGGTTGCTTCCTTTGCTCCTTCGCTGCCTCTGATTGTCACTTGGTGTTGGTAATAGCGCTTCGTTGTTGTTTTTGTATCTGTTTTTGCTACTCTTTTGTGCGCAGTAAACGTTTAGCAGGCACTTATTTTGGTTAAGAGGCCAATTGAGTTTATTAAATCAAGCGAGATAATTGCCGGCTAAGGTTCGGGCTGCATTGAGGAAAGGGAAGCCGTAGAAAACTGTATTCCAAGTATGGAAAGAATTTACAATAAGTACGCCTTCAAAATCATAGCAGTTGTGTGGAGAAGAGATGATTGAGAGAAGGCACGAAGTGTGGAAAAAGAAAGCGGTTATGGAAAGGTGGAAATTACAATAATTTATTTTAGGAGAAGTACGGAAATACTGATAGAGATCTAGATGCTTCTTTATCCGCACTTAAGAACGCGGATCTAGTATATTCAGTTTCCACTCTTGCGTCCTAGTCGCATATCCTAGAAATGAGAACAACTCTGGAGGAAGATGCATTAGCCAACAGTGGCTTTGGGTAAGTGCTCAAATAAAGGAAGCTCCGTTTTTAATAGTGGCTTTAAATAGAAGCCGAAATAAAGGTGTTGGATTTCTGGTGGAAGTGAGATAATTTGGCCAAAGTCTCCTTCATCGAAGACAACCGAACTCTATATTAAATCTATGACAGGCGATTTAGAAATTCCTGCCACCAAGGCAAAATATCTCTGGTGAGATTTTGACCGAAGTTTTATAAAGGATATGATGAGAAATGCCGTTAGTGAAGAAAAACGAGAATATCTATGATGGGATCGACGGCAAGAGTGTTGGATTTATGTCCAAAGTTGAAGAAAAAATTGTTAAAATAAAGAAAAAGGCCGAAATGAGTGATTAAGAAAAGCTTGGCCGTCAAGGAAAATGTTTGAAAACTTTGTGAGAAAGAGAGGGAGAGAGCTTCATTGGATTTATATGAAAGTGAATCTCTTAATAATAACTTCCCTGCGGTGGAAGCTCATGATGTAATGGGTAAACTGTACAAAAATGTTGGGGAAGAATTGACAATGTACAATACATATATATTATATATATACTTGTGCTGCCCCCAAGGCACAAAACTTTTGTTATTATCGCCAAGTTAGCCTCCTAACACATCACATATAAGATCCAGTTTAGTTTGATGTAAGTAATCTTAATGGCCTCCTTCAGTGACTTCAGTGAGGCTCCAAATTTAGTAAATCCTCCATTTATCAGATCAGCTTGAAAAGTCGTGGGAAATGAGCGACATAAACCACTTCTTAGCCAATTTTATAGCTGCCTCCAATAGCACTAAAAGAACCTGCCTCTGCACAACTTTATTTGAATTTGACGCCGAGCAACACTATGATTGTACCTCGAGTTCCCAGAAGAGCTAATAAACTGGGCTTCAGATAAGATTGATGATTTCTTTAACCTATTGGTAGACAATATACACTCCTTGACAAGAGCGTACAGTTGCTGGTATATAAATAATAAGAATAACTAGCGCTTTGTAATCGCTGAAGAAGCAGTACTTGGACTGGGACCTTCCGGATGGTAGTATGCACAGTTAACCTCTCGGTTATTGCGACTTCTTCGCGTTGAAATGGATAAAATGGCAAGGTTGTTAGAGAAGACACTTCATTTTCTTACTGACTTTACTTTGATTCGTCAGTATAATCCCCCCGAGTCCAAACAGGAGTCAAAGTGGAAAAGTCGGCATCGAAGACTATGTCTACCATTTTCTTGGATAAGGAGGGAATATTATTATTTGATTGTTTATTATAGGGGGCTAAAATTAATGGTCAGTTTTACGCTCATTTCTCGAGTCAGGCTCGTGCGACAGTCGTACATAAGAGGCGAGGATAATTAGCGCCCGGAGTGTTGGTTCACACCGCTCGGGCGGCGAAGTTATAGTGACGAAAATTTTCAGACAACATTGAAGAGAAATCTAAGCAATAATTTTTCAGTGGTATAAAGGCATCGCATTCACGAAGTGAAATAAAAAACATAAAATTTAAAATTTCTTCATCAAGTCAGCCGCCCTTAACAACTGTATCATAACTTCTGCTTTCTCCAAGTAGGACAAAGAATCGAAGTAGATGGTTCTCGCAATGAATGAGGACAAGCGGAAATATCTCCTGCCATCCAATAAATGGTCAGTGCATTCCCATCTGGGCTCTCATGTTACTCTTGACAGTCACAACTTCACAACAGTTATAATGAAAGCCTTGAAATCCAATCCCGAATTGGTATTTGAAAAGTAAATTCCTTAACTATGATTCTCGTCCTTTTATAGGATGCAGAGGCGAGAAGGACATCGTT